TATTTATTTGGATTTTAATATATATATTTAGTATATTTAGGAAAATCTTCTAAAATTAAAATTAATGATCAGTTTTGAATTTAAACCGAAGAGGGCTCTTGGTTCTGTGCCTTTGACTAACATGCATATCTCAGGTACAAAACGTCTCTACATAAGACGATTCGGTGTAAGTTGATTTCGTATCGGAGTCTAGAGTTCTTTATTAATCAGGCCACACTTATCGCCTGCCTGGCACACAAAGTCATGACTTTTGAATTCGATAGAACTAAGATACAGCAAAAAACTTGATATACAGATGAGCAAATTCATGTCGATAACATGTTGAATGGCGCGGCGCAGAAGAACGCGGAGGATCAGAAAACATCAGGATGGATGGTCTGGTGGCTCGACCTGCTAATGCTTGCTGGGGAAACAACTTAAGCATAGGAGCGAGAAAATGATGCTGTGTTTGACATTTCGTGTCGTCACTGTACCGTTTCATTTAAGTTTTAAGCCAGAGTCTGTGTCTGTAGAGGAAACAAAATCAAGCAAAGGTCGGTTGAACACGAGTTTCTATTTAAGAACGGCTCACCAGAGCCTGGAGGTGCAGAGAAGGTGGTGGTAGCGTTCGATGTCGCTGCAGCTGAGAATGCGGCTGTAGTGACGCTTAAAAAGTAGTCTACGGACAGAGCGTGACAGCATAGTCATATGGTAGCTTCAACACTTTTGAAAGATGAGATCGCGGGAATAGCGACCACGTAGCTCGCGCTTGGCGCGACGATGAGGTAATAAAGCTTGCGGGGAGTCTGCAAGCAATATTGTGCCCTCGACGGGATCTTTGGGACCAAAGTGATTTTACAAACGTTTACACGCGTTATGGCCACAGCGAACGGATAAAGTGTGTGGCGCCTAGACAAGATTCAATTGCACTACGAGAACAGTCTGTTAAGGACCTGTCTCAGCCGGTTGTATAAGGAACATATCTCTACAATCGATATTAACTCGCAAGAGACACGAATGCAGCAAATTAAATCGGTACCGGCTGGTCGATATCGAATTAGAGAAGTCTTGGAGCGTGGGAATGGCTGTACTGTCTGATTTGAGTCACAGCTTTCCAGCCACGCCATGCCATGCCTAAAATAAGGTCGTATCTCGAATATAAATCAATGACTTGATAAATTTTTAATTCGTCAAGGGCCCTAAACTTTACTTGCATTGAACTTTTGAGACTTGATCAGTGCCCCCCACCGCAATATGCACAGATATCGTATTATCTTACATGTCTCTGTATATAGGCTACTGTCTTTGACGATCTTACATCGTCATAACTGCAAGATGTACCAAGGAAACGCTTAAACATTCCATGGCTCTGCAAAGCGCATGACAAACATTCAGGAAGTTTAGGCGATCAGCCTCACCACTCTCAAATTGAGTCGGCTCATATTAAGATTACATTCCATAGACAACAACTTCTTTGAAAAGCAATATAATTCGTTTTTTAGCAAGCTGCTCTGTGCCTACTAAGGTTTAACATTTTCTCGTGAAGGACTCATCATCTGCATTTTAACGGGACTCCAACCTTTCAAGCCTATCAACCTAAGCCAAGGGGGCACGCAAGGCGCAGAACTTTTGTACTGCCGCGAATAAAAACCGAAGGGTGCCATGGAGCTGCTACACAACTAATAAATTTCGGGTGGTTCTTTCTCAGCGTGGCTGAGATCCATTGACGCTAGCACGCACTAAGAACTTACATTTCTAACACTCCATCTCACTGTTGCAGAGCGTAGGGTAAGCTCCTCACTGAATATGACACCCACTACTCCCTTAAGGTGATAATCGCAATCGCCCAGGGAAAGGGTAAGAAGCCAGCGATAAGTCTGCTTAATATCAGGATACCGGCCGTCTTAACTTTTCTCGATCAAGGAAAGAGCTTTTCACTATTTTAGCTTTTAAAGTCTGAAGGATCACACAAGTGGTCCTACGGTGGGAGCCCTCCTTTATGTTTTTACTTACTGTTTGTTTTTCATCAATCACAACTCCATTTTCATCAAGAGCCTCGTCTAGAACTTCAAAGTTAAAAACATCAGCATCCAGACTACTGTCACCGTTCATTTTTGTAGCGTTCTCGTTTACGTCATGTCGAGCAACAGACCAGTCTTAGTAGGTTTCTCTAAAACCATGAGAAAACTAATGACAGCGTCTCCTTAGATCCATGCCCATCCCAAGAACACACCGAATTCACTGACGGTGGCCTGGAATTACCACATTTGGTGTATGTCAGCCGGGTAACGGCATAACTGAAAACAACACACCCGGCATGGCTGTATGTGCTGGCAGGTAGATGACAAAAACGAAGTGTTGAAACTTCTGTTGTGGTCATCCATTTGATTTTATTATAACGGGGTGAATGATTGTAGTTTTGAAGGCACTATATGGGACAAGACTCTAATCAGAAAAATCCATTAAGCCAGCATTTTGCACAATACAGTGTATATGGCAGGTTTATAAATTACGAAATTTGACAATAATTTCGTCTCAACACTTCTGCTGAGGTGACTGGTGCACTAATGCTTTAGCATACATTGAAGTAGTGTCTTTTTTGAGACAGCCGCTTTGAATTTGCATGGTATCTTCAACGAGAAGTTCTTCATACTTGGTGAACGTGATGATTTCAGAATCAGAATCAGACTCAGATTCACTAACACCGATATAAATGCGATAAATTAGTGTAAGAAAAGTTACCATAAATGATACGTACCTGTTGCCTGATAATAAATTATTATCATACGTTTTGCGAAGCGCACGTAGATGTTGAAGGTGTGTTCTCAGTGAAGACGTTAAGTGATATATCTGCATCGATGCCACAGCAGCATCCATAGATTCAGCTTGCTGTCTAGGTTGTCACGCATAATAAATCAAGTATATGAAACCTAGATCCATATAATATATCCGCTGTACCTCTTCAGTTCCGTGATGACCCGCCTCGCCAGCGTTGCAACATTTTCGTGCTGCTTTACACTTGAATCGCGATCGCTGCTTATAGCGCACAGCTCGCTTTCTACTTCTCTAAGCTGATTTAAAGCCGTCTCTGTCGCCGTTTTTAAAATTTTATTTGAGTGAGCTAGCTCGCTAGAATGGCAACGTTCCGCTTTCAACTGCTTAAGAAGCTCGCTCCGTTCCACTACAAGGCTCTTGTTTCGGGCTTCCGTATCAGCCAATACCGCAACCTTTTGTTCAATGTCGTGAATACGACAGGTAAGCTCTTTTTGAAGCGCTTGTGTTTGTAAGACATGCATCAGCTCTTCTACCGCTAAACTTCCGTCAGTGCTGTCCTCTTCAAGCTTACGAAATTCTAATCTTATATCTTTGGTATTTTGTCGTAGACGAGTCAAATCAGTACGAAGTTGATAATTCTCCGCTTCAATTTTCTGTTGGTCTTTTACCAGAGCTTTAAAACGGCTGTCAGCTGCTTGCTGACAACAGCTTATCGCCTCGTTCAGCTTCTTCTTATCGTCCGCTAGTGTCTTCACTTGAGCTTTTAATGTCGTCACTAATTTTTGGCACACGCTCGGCATCGAAATCATCTGGTCATCTGCAACGGCAGATTCGACAGTCTTCACATTTGGCTCTCTCAAACAGGACATTTCCGAGGCATCTTTCAGCTGCTGCAGCTCATATTGTACCTCGCTTTTCAGCCTAACTGTTTTCTGGAATTCATCTTCTAATTCACTTTTGGCATCTTTAACATCTTGCAGCTCTCGACTCAAAGCCTCCGCAACATCTCGGATCAAAGTTACTTCGATTTGAAGCTCGCTCACTCGAGTCAAGGCTTGCAGTTTTGCCATATGTGCCAACTCAAACTGCCGCTCTTTCGAAGCTGAACCACTTCCGTTAGCTGTATCATCTTCGTTACCAACAAAGTGTCTAAGAATATAGTCCGCTTCTGCGTTACGCTGAGCTTCTTCCGCTCGAGCCGTCGTCACTTGCAGTGCCTCCACCTGCCTCGTCAACATATCAATTGTCTGTGCTGCTTTAAGCTCGTTTTGCTCATGAATAGCAAGCTTTCTGTGTAGCTTATCAATGATAGTGTTCTGGTCTTCAATATGTTGGTTTGCTTGACCTTCCAAGATGCCACCTCGCTGCATATTTTTCGGCTCTAGCAAATGATTCTCTCGTGTTTGCTTCTGAGTCATTTCCATATGAGACTTGAAACAGCCAGATAAAGGCAGCAAACTATTGCTACAATTTGGTCTTTGGTTCATGAGAAACAAGACGACGTGGCTTGAAGATATGCACTTTTTAAAGGAAGAGGTAGACCATCACTCTGCTCCATTATTGCAAGTCGCTTTGATTCTGAAAGGCTTTTGCGAGTGATTGCGATGATATTTGACACTGGTAGAGACAAATTGTAAACGATCTAGAGTCAGTATACGCAACCTGACTCGATTATTGTTGAAGTCAGCATAAGTAAAGTTCCACATCTTGTCCTTAAAGTTTGCACTGTGTGAGCTCTCCAAAGGTGAGCCCTTGAATGGCTCGTGGTCTTAACCGGACTACTAAGTGTTAGATCGAAGTCAACACATCATCATGACGTCCACGAGTTATCTGTATGAATATCAAGATTCATAGCACAAGTTAAGCTTTAAATTCAACTTGCTCATATCCTAATTACCGTCGTTGTTTCCTAAGAAATGAAGACAATAAACAACAGCTAGAATTAGACAACATGATAAGGCGCCGAATTAGCATTCTCTAAATATCGTGATTGGTCCACCTGCTTTGCAATTCATAATCACAACAGCTCGATCCTCGAGCGTCTCCTAATTCCATGGCTGCGTCGCTCGATCTTACTGGTTTGCATTATATGGCTCAAACTCTCCGGAGCAGCTTCTTGAGCCAGGTGTTAGTGTTGCTTTTGTTCGTAATTGTACTGCGTTACGTGGCCGCATCATGGCGCACTGGCTTGACGTCATATGAGGTGCAGATGTGCCCACCCATCAACCCACATATGCACTATCGCTACGGTGTGTCACAGATGCAAGGGAGACGACCATATATGGAGGATCGTTTCACAGCTCTAGCAGATCTTAATGGTGATTCGAAACAAAGTTTCTATGGTATATTTGACGGTCATGGAGGCGATGGTGCAGCGAAGTGAGTCGATCAATTCTTAACAAAATCATGTACACTGATCGCTACTTCTCTTCGTTTGCTGAAGTTATTGTGTGCAGGCCATGTGTCAAAATGTGATTCGAGAGCCGTCTATTTTGAAAGAACCGATCGAAGCGCTAAAGAATGGATTCCTTCGCACGGATCAAGAGGTCAGCAGTATTCGCCCTGGTGCAATTGACGTCACTGATATTGAGGGTACTGTGTGGTGTAAATACAACAGTATTTGCAAATAGCTAATCGCAAAAATACCGAGGACGGAACAACAGCAGTTGTAGTACTTACGCAGGGTGACGAGATATTCGTGGCTCACACCGGCGACTCGCGAGCAGTGTTAGTGCATCGTAGTGGTAATGTCTCCGTATTGACATCCGATCACAAGCCCAACCGGCCGGACGAGCGCCGTCGGATCCAAGACCTGGGTGGATCGGTCGTTTTTTGGGGTGTGTGGCGCGTAGAAGGCATCCTTGCTGTGTCTCGTGCTATCGGCGATCGTATGCTTAAACCGTTTGTAGTGGCTGAACCCGAAGTAAAAAAATTCACGAGAACAGACTTGGACCGCTACGTTGTTCTTGCTAGTGACGGGGTTTGGGACACGATATCGAATGATGACGCCGCACAGTTGGTGCTTAAATACAAAGATCCACAGACTGCTGCGCAACGGATTATGGAGGAGGCTTATGCACGAGGCAGTATGGATAACATATGTGCTATGGTCATTGACTTGAGAGAGTATGTGAAAGAAAACGAATTGTTGTCAGGGCAAACACTTACTTTTCTATAAAATGGTTGTGCAGGGAAATGAACGAGTGCGTACCAAGAGACGTATAATTAGCCACTTATGATCATAACAAGGCTATAGAAATACGAAGTTGTTATTCGTGAGGGCAAATCTACTAGTTCATGCCTGATTCCATTGTAATCACCAAGAGATGTAGCAAAGACGAAAATCAATAGAACAGACGTTAGTTGTAGCTGTGTCATTAATTATTTAAAAGAGGGTTGAATCGGATTGCATAGCTCTTTACGAAATTGTGGCTTCACAATTGGATCCATAGACGCAGAGTTTTCAGTAATATAGCGTATTTTCACAAGTGCTTCACTTTCATTAGTCCAGCGGTCACGATGCTTCTTAAGTTCCTCGTCTCTCATCGTTCGCCCTTTCATCTCGCGTGGAGGTGCAAACTCGGAAGGTTTGTCAGCGTTGTTGTGCACGGACTGTGAAATCGATTGCCACGTCTTCGAAGATCTCGTTTTGTCCGCTCCAATTAGTTCACTGTAGTTGTAATCAGATGTGTCATATATATTGTGAAGTCCTGCACCAAACTCTTGCACTTGAATACGCGCTCCTTCCTGCATTTGATTGCGTGTGGTAGAAGTATACTTAGCACCTCCATCACGAACATTCCTCATTGCACCTGGACGATAGGATTCTTCAACAAAATTACCTACGAGTGTTTTACACTCGAACGAGCGTTTCCCACCGCGTAAGATATTCGAGCCACCACCACCCAACATCGTACTCGACTAAAAAAAAATGAAGCACTATGCACTCCCAACCGTCCATCTATTTTTGAAAGCAACGAAAGACCTAACCAAAACGTTGCTGGCCATCGAGCATCGGGCAAAATATCATATTCTAATAAAGACGGGTATTGAGAACTTTCAGAAAATGCTAGATATATTTGATAGAAGCTCACGATGTAATGATGATAGCATAATCTGTTCAAATCAAGAGTGAATGCTGAAAAGTATAAATAAATTTATGTAATAATTTTGGATGTTGAAATATATAGGGAGTTGATATATTCACTCACTTTTCAGTTCACTCACTTTTGCTTGTACTGTACACCACTTTTTGGTTATATTCACTCACCTGCCCGTACAGCGCCACTCACCTTCA